CTGTGTTTTTAGTAGCAACAGAAATAGTTCTATAGTAGCACCACTTAAAACAGCACAGCTAAATGTATTTGTTCTGTTCATTTCATGTTTTGCAAATCTGACACTGAAGTTTTGGTTTGTTCTGGCACATAAAGACTATGTTTGTTCCCAGTATCTGAACATCTGGCCTGGAAATACCCTTTCCAAATCCATAAATCTTGACTCTTCATTCCATTTGCGTTTGTTTAGAAACAACATCTACAAACAGATTGCCACACTATCCCCTTTTCTGAGATTTATGAGTATGCCGCTATTTTTGGGATTGACAGATAGACCAGTAATCCCCCATAATCCCACAGGGTTGCCCTTGCTGAAGCGTTCTATGACCGAAAGACTTCCACATCTTTTGGAAGTAATACATTTTCAGTTTTAAATGAGTTACATTTTTCAGATAAATAATTAAATAATTATCGAAAAATATTAGAAAATGTACAAAGAAAATTCTCTCTCTCTCTCTCTCTCTCTCTTAACACACTAATTATTGTGCTATCACTCAGTCACTGTGTGCCAATATTATTTATTATTGCTGTACATTCATACCTTACCTTTAAATTGTTGTTGTTGTTTTTTTTTAATGTGCAGTTGAAAGGAGATGCACTTATTTTGTGTGCATGACTTTATTTAGATTTTTGGATAATCTATAGCCTGGAAATATCAGGAAGGTCACACACACATATATATATATATATATATATATATATATAATTAGTTTTTTTCTAAATAATTATTTGTCTAAAATGGGAAAAGAAAAAAAATAAAGAAATGGAGTAAATATATTTAAATGAGTTAATTTTTTCCTCTTTCTGATTTTTTTTAGATAATTTAAAAAAAGTGCTTTTGTATTTATCCAAAAAATATTGGAGAGGAAAAATAAGCATATATGCATGCATATGTGTATATAGCTTCATTTATCCTCTTTGTGATATTTTTAGATGAATAATTAAATAAAAAATAAATAAAATACATATGTAATTTTTATGTATTTTATAAATAACCTTATTAAACTTATCTTTTTAATCCAATGTATTTTTTTGTTTCTGTTCCATTTGATATTTACACATTATTTACACATAATTTATCTACAAGCAACCAATACTACTGCATTATATTTACATGCAGTGTAATGTATGTTTGTGTTTTTTTTATTTAGATTTGTTTGCTGTATATTTATATATAACATTGTATAATATTTATATGATAACATATTTATTAAAACTATTAAAAAAAACACTGGTTTTAAATATGTTTTTTATCCACAGTGTTTTGCATTGCTTAAATAATAAAAAATATTTTTGTAATAATAATAAAATAATCTCTAATAAATAATACATTGAGATGCCTAATATATTTATTTAGTCATTTTTTAATTTATTTTTTAATGTTGATCATTTTTCTGATCCAAAATGTTCCCCTTCTCAGAGAAAACCCCTCGAGCTGTCGGTAAAGGATGTCAAATCATGAGTTTGAGGACCTCATCCATAGGCGGAGCGTGTGGGCCTCAGCGAGTTGGGGCAAAAATGCCCCTGCACAAACAAATTAAATATATTACGACTGTTACTAACAAAACGAAAATGAAGAGAAAGTGTCGATTGCGGCATTAAATTAAGATCTGCTCATGTTGCACCGTATTTCATTTTTGCTGTTTTTACAGTGTTGGGCATTATAACCAATCACACACGATTCTGATGAGCTTAGGAATGCAATGGCCAATCAGAGGTGTTCAGATGAGTCATCGCTGAACTCATCAGTTTTGAGTGCGCGCGCGTTCGCTGACAGAATTCCGGACGCGCAGATGTATGTACAATGTAAGTAAGAGATTCATTTCACAGTGTAGACCGCTTAAGTTATTATAACGATAGTTTGTTTTTTTTGTTTTATTGAGAGTGCTTAAACTCGCCATAGATCAAAGTTAGTGATAATGTCACTTTCTGTATAATAATGTATTCACTGATTGAATAACCTTGGAAAGGAAACATTTTATAATGACCAATTTATAATGTTTTTTATTAAAGGGGTCATATGATACGATTTCAAGTTTTCACGCGTGCTTGTGGTGTTCGGCCAATCACAATGCACTGGGTCAGCTGGCCAATCAGAGCAGACTGCGCTTGTCAAAGGAGGGGGCTTTGTTGAAAACGACGTGTTTGAGAGAGGCGGGGCATAGAGGACCTACAATAATATACAGTATTTGAAAATTAATGTGTTTTTTGAACATTAAAGCATGTCAACATATTCTGTTACACCAAATACACAAAATAATGATCTTTAAAATAGCATCATATGACCCCTTTAAATTGCAATCACATACAAATTCAGTCACATTAAACATATTATATTAGCCTACATGACACCCATGTCTGGTTCTTGCCTAAAAAGACGGGTTTATGATGTTTGTAGTTAATAGATTTGGCTGCTTTTAGCCTTACCCTGGAGTTGGTCCACCCTCCGCCTTTGACCTCATCTGACCCAATGCAAAGCTGGACACAATCAGAAATCCTGTCCTAGTTCTGCTTTAGACCTCAGATGAAGCTGAATTTAGCCCATTATCTTTGTTTTGCCGATCTCGAGGATTTCTGTGGCATTTCAGCTTGCAGGCAAAATTTTGAGCTGTTTTACGCATGCTCATATATTTCGAGATTAATGAGTTTTGGCTGCAAATATTATAGTGCATGTTCCCAAAGAAGTCTGAAAGCATGCTGGGTACGCTCTTAATGTGGTTTCCTGCAGAGGTTGTGTTGAAGTGGGCGTCTGGTATCGTGGGCTCTTCCTCTGTAAGACACAAGTTCATCTCTTTGTAGGAGTGAAGTCAGCTTTACAGCCAGAAGGTGTGGTGTGAGTGTCCTCAAGCTTTATGCTGCTTTATTCTGGTCTGAAAACAGCTTTAATATGTGTTTCTAATCACAGACATCACATGAAACATTGGCTCTATTCCCAAACCCAGAGATGCCTAGATAGATGGGGTTTTAAGGCATTGTGACATGACTCAAGGCAATCCCAGAATGCATCACAACAAGCTCAGAGTTTAGATTATTTATGCATAACACATGCACCACATGCCAACATCCATAAATTCTCATTATTATATATAAATGTATAAATTTGGTGCTATGATCATTTCAAGAGGTGATGTGTGTCAGTGCAGTAAAAGCATTGTTTTTACTGGTGATTTCATGCAATCAACACCAGGGGGCGTAAATCTCAATATTTACGCAGCTCAGACTGTATCAAACTTTACGTTTAAACAGATCTTGTTAAAATGATCAACAAACTCACCTTTTAAGAAAAAAACAAGATGGGTTGTTCTCGCAAATTCACTGCAAGTGTTCAAATTTGGTAAGCCTTGCATGTGAAGTTCATTTGGACCAGCTAGTTTGGCTGATGGACTTTGACACTAAAATACAACTAAAAATGAGAGAAAATGCTAATTTGAGTAAAGAATGACAGCATTTAAATATGTTAAGGAAATCGAGACTTAAATGTGCAGCGCAACAAATAAATTAGTGAATCGTTTTTGAACGAACAAACCGATTCAGTAAATTGAACCCGGCCTTCCATCGCTACTTGAGAGATATTGTAAATTAATTGTTTTTCTTTTTATTGTTGTGGAAAGTGTATAAAACACAAAACACAACAGTCAGTGGTGCAGTATTTTGTCGTGCTACAAGGGTAGCCTACTCATTGGAAAACTTTTTTTTTAACTGCTGAATTTCGGACGTTTAGAAAAAAATGATATACTTTTAAAACATGCAATCTTTAAATAAAAAATAAAAAAAACAACAGTATTTAATTGTGGATACAAAGGAGTCGCAAATACGCACATCGCATCAAATGAATTGGTAAATTGTTTTTGATTCCGTACATTGAATCCAACTTCTAAACGGTAACGTTACTCGATTGTAGATTATTATTGTTTGTTGTTGTTGTTATTGTGGAAAATGTGTATTGTTTACCTCAGCTGAAGTAGAAAGCACATCAGCAGTGTATTTTGTCACGTCACAGTGGTAGTCATTGAAAAACAAAAAACAGCTCCAAAACTAGACTATTTTTTAAAAATATTTTCTGATGGACATTCACATTGAAATACAACTCATACATTTAGAAAACATGCTAATTTGTTATTTAAATAGAGAACAACCTTATTTACATATTTTGATACAAATGAGATTCAATGCGGGCAGCGAACCAAATTGATTGGTGAATCGTTGTTGAACGTACGAATGAAACCGATTCAGTAGGCTAACGTTACACTGAATTCGATCTCCGAACGCTAGGCTACTTGAGAGATTGTAGTAAAGTTGTTTGTTGTAATTATTAGTAGCCTAATGGTATGGTGCATTCAAGTCTTCCTGGAAAGTTTGTATTTACAAGTTGACAAGTCGCAATTACGACATCGGTGCGTTCAAGTCACTTTATACAAGATAGCGATTTAACTTTTCTACATAAAATTCAACAATTTTTTTTAACTCTACATCTACAAAATGATGAATAAAGAATGTGTATCATTATTTTTTTCCCCCTTTTTTCTGTTTTTATTCAGTGTATAAACTGAATCATAACATTCCATGGTAATTACACAATAATATCATCTTTTGTATATGTAACGTATATAACTTTATTGTACATTAATATTTTTTTTATTATTAATTTGAACATTGTATCCGACATGTTTTCTCACTGACACGCCCCCAACTCGGAAACTCGGGACTTAATGCTACTCATTGAAAAACCTACACTTTTCAAATTAAATTTAAAGAGCTAAATTCTGTCATGATCCTGAAAATAGAGTTAGGTTAACTCTAGCATCTGCAGCTTTCGGCAAAACTCATTTCAGGGAGGCGTGAGAGAGATGCCAGAGTATTCTCTGTGGACAGTGATGTAAATATAGAGCGTTGGGTAAACAGAGACTGAGGGGGTAAATAGTTCTGTCTCTTTAAGTTGGTGTCAAAGCCGATTAGCGCTGATCTCGGTCGTGATTCTGTTGAACCGTCTGTTCACTGGCGCTATTTTTGTTTTACGTCGGTGCGCGCATTTTAGACATTATTTTTTTTATATTTGTTGACTTTCTGAAGTGTGTTTTTGCTTGCTTTGTTACGCGCGCACTCCTTCGGGATATCGCTGTGCGTAATTACGCGTTACTCGCGTCTGGGAACTCCTTTACGCACAGCATCAGCGCTTTCGGCTGGACTTTAGATCATCATCATCATCATCTCTGGCTGCTGTGTCTGAGGAGGAGGAGGATGATGGGTTCAGTGTGACAGTCAGGGCTGTAAGATGCAGAAGAGCGTGCGTTATAATGAAGGGCACGCGCTCTATCTGTCCATGGTAGCGCGTAAAGAGGGAATCAAACGCGGGTTCTTGAGTAAAAAAGCCGCAGAAAACAACCGCTGGAACGAGAAGTACTTCGCGCTTTACCAGAATGTGCTGTTTTGCTTTGAGAACGAGCAGAGCACCAGACCATCAGGGATTTATTTGCTGGAGGGATGCACCTGCGAGAGGATCCCGGCGCCCAAAGTGTCCACCGTCGGGAAAGAGAGTTCAGATAAACAGCAGGTATGATCTGACCTCAGATTCACTCCACATTTCATCTGTGATCTACTAGTTACTCGCTCTTACGATCAAAGCCATATTTCAGGTGTAAGTGTGTCAGTTTCGAGGAAGTTGGTTTCTACACAAACCACGTGTTTGTGTCTGTTTATGAGTGAGAGTGTGTGTGTGTGTGTGTTTCTCAGTCTAGGTTTGTTTTTATAAGTCAGCTTCTGTATAGACACAAAATGTATGGAATTAATTTTTTCGGACAAAATTCAACATTTCTTAAAATATTACATAAATGGAATTATACATATAGTTTGAAGCAGTGTTATTTTATTATCATTGAGAATATTCGATTTATATATATATATATATATATATATGTATATATAATATATAATTTATATATATATAAAAATATATAGTTTCAAAGTTTTAGCATTTTATGTTTGTCGTTTTAAAAAAAAAAAATTAAATTTTTATTTCAGTTTTAGTTTTTCTAGTACATTTAGTGCAATGTTTTTACTTTGCTTTGGCAACTTGCGGAAATAAAATAACTTTATGCTTTTTATATTTTATTTTAAGTTACCTTTTAATGTATTCCAAGTAACATTGTTGAATGGTTTTAATTTTAGTGAAATATTATGACCCCAGTTTCAACGAGAGCTCATTAAACGTGTCCTAATTTACAAATATAACTAAACTAGATTTGTGAAACCAACATACTAAACCATTGCTCTCGTTCCTCTAATTCCTAAGAAATAGCCTTATGACAACTTCCTCATGTGACAACTAGCCCCTGTGTTTCTTATGTGTTGGTGTTAAGATGTTAAAACCAACGATAACAGCCCATATATTGCAGTCAAACACGACCGCTTTTAAATGAGTGGATATAAGTGAGTAAATGTCTGTACACTGATATATGGCTTCAAAGTTTATTTTACAAATGCAAGTTTTAGGTCTTCATCAACAAAATGAATACAAATGAGTTCTGAAATAGAATTTTGAACAATTAGCCTATTGTCAGCGTGCAAACATGAAAATTTCTATTGTGAATGTGCATTTTTTGTAGTTATGCTCAGCTCTGAATTAATTAGTAGGTTAGAAACTGGTGGGTGGAATCTTTATTAGTCACAAACCAGTTTATCAAGCAAAATGATTAATTGACTGATATTTTGGGCTGTTTTGATTTTGAAATTGGGGCATCAGCCTCAAAATTTGCTTGGCTATTTAACAGAAGTTTCTTAATGCTTGTGTTAGTTTAAAGCCTTTATTGTAATGCATTATAAAAGTAGTTTTAATGCATCAATTATGCCTTGTAATGCACCTTATAATGCATTGTACAGTCTCATGAATTATTGTAACCACAGTTAATACATTATAACACTTATCAATTCATTGTTGCACTGTGCATTTTAAATTCGGGTATAATTATTTACGACAAGATATAATGTATTACAACACAGATTATGAATAACTCTAATGCAATGTTCACGGTGTGTGTGTGTTCACTGCTGTGTGTGTGCACTTAGGATGGGTTAAATGCAGAGCACTAATTCCAAGT